AAAACAAAACAAAACACAAAACAAAACAAAACAAAACAACAAAACAAAACAAAACAAAACAAAACAAAACAAAACATAACAAAGCAAAGCAAAGCAAAGCAAAACAAAAAACTATAACTACATATGACAAAAACATTTATTAATATGAAATTTTAATAAATGTCAATATAGTCAATATAGTATAAGTACCTAGTAGTATAGACAAAACCAAAATTTTATTTTAGCCAAACCCATTTCAAACAAGGTTATCTTATTATATTATTTTTACCTTACAGACTCAAGACTGGCAAAAAAGAAAGTTTTTTTCCCGTTTTTATGTAGTCTAAATTTGACACACAATTACTCATATTTCTGTCTAAAGGCTGAAAGCTGCTCACTTGTCTCCCACGATGCCCAGGTTGATGGTGGGGTATCCGTGCTCCTGTATGGTGGCCAGCAGTGTCGAGCGGTTCGAGTCTCTGATCTTACCGGGGTGTAAATCGTCCTCTGGGTTCAGCAGCTGAAATATACATACACATATACATACATATACAAGAAATACAAGCTGCAACAGCTTGCTGCTCAGGAATTTCTTATAAGACTTAAAGAGTAACTTTAAGCACTGCTTTGGTACAATGTCACTAACATGTCAGCAAAAGTCCACCGGATGATCCAGCAAACTTCTGACAGCTTCCAGGTTTTTGTGAAAACTACAGATTGAACTTGTATAGTTTTTAATGCCTGCTCACAAACAGTCACCCATCAGTGCATTATGGGTGTTGAAGCTTTCCCATCATTTTGGCAAAAGGGAACAGCACAGCCTCATTCTCTGTTTTCTCTAGTCATATAGCACTGATTAAAAAAAAAAAGTTTTATTTAAAGCCCATCCTGCCAGTAGTGAATTACCATTTAATGGAGTTCTCAGAGACGTTTAACTGATATATCAATTTAGGAGAAATAAAAACAGACACAAATGAGTCAGTGAGAGTGTAGTGCTATAAACGTCATCATCTGATCTTGGGGAAACTTAATGAGAAATGTTGGAGTTGATGTTGAGATTTCTGACTTTCTGCATTTTGAGACATTGTTGAGATCTCTTCTGAAACTCTAAAGGAGACACATGTGGGAGAGATAAAGAGAAAAAAAAGCATCCGCAAATTATTTTCTTAGTAATTTTGACTTGTTTTCCAGTAGAAAAATCGAGATATTCTTAAATTAAGATACAAAAAGTGACAAGTCTTGTGTTCTGAAAAATTTAGCAAAATTAAGTGGGTTTTTGCTTAAAACAAAACAAAAGGGGTCCGAAAAATAATCTTGTTTTTCCTTTTGCTTTCTTTTATTTTTCTAATCCTATTTGGCAGATATTTTTTCTTTTTCTAAAGCAAAAGCTCAGTTAACTTTGATACATTTTTCAGAAAACAAAACGTAATATTTTAAACCACTTTGCTTCTCAAATGTATCTTGATTTAAGAATGTTTAGATAATTGTACCGGATAAAAAGACAAAAAATACTGACTAAGAAAATCACTTTTTGCAGTGTATTATTCCTATTAGATCTATTAGATATTAAATATTGTTTTCTTTTTTATAGGTTTATTTTCAGATATAATTTGTGAAACAAAATATGTACTGTATACATAACATTACAAACATCATCTTTCTTTTACAAAACCAGAACTATAAAACAGAAGAGAGAAAAATGAGTTTAATGGTCCACTGTTTTCTTGATGTGGAATGAGTCGACTTCTAATTCACCAAAATATTATTTTCCAAAAAAATCTCCCAAAATTAGGGAGTTTCTGCTTAAAACAAGAAGAAGAAAAAATCTGTCAGTGCGGTAAGAAAAATTAAACGGGAAAACAAGATTATTTTTCGGACCCCATGGACCGATATTTTTCTTGTTTTAATAATAAACTCACTTAATTTTGATAACATTTTCAGACTTAACATGTTAACCTTCTCAGGTAAATATATCTATATTTAAGAATGTTTAGATATTTGCACTGGAAACAAGACAAAAATCCAGCGTGAGAAAGCTGGAGGCTCCCCATTAGATCTAATTGCAGTCTAGAAGAAACAGTGGAGCTCTAAAGAGCAGTGTGTGTTGTAGTGGCACCTCGTTGCCTGTAGACATCACAGCCACGACTGGAAACCTCTGCACTTCCACCTCTGTGACGCCCACCGTGGCCAGCAGGCCGATCTCAGACGGGCCCATGTGAGTGCCTTTGGCCAGCACGCATTCACCACGCTTAATGTCGTGACCGATGGGCCTGCAGAAGCAGAACACGGGACAGACCCCCTCAGACGCATCTGAGACTCACACAGTCACGCTGAGATACGCTCACAGACGCTCACCTGATGTCTTGACCTGGACGAGCCTGAACCAGAATCCGCACCTCAAGCTCTTCTGTGCCCTGAGAAACGAACAGACAGATAATAACTGACAGCCAGACAGAGTGAACTATTTTCAGATTATCATGACCAGTGCATAACAGTAGCTACCAATTAATTTCCTCACACTTTTCAAATACTTTTGGTAGAATTTGACTAAACATTTGATAAAATAAGTTTATTCCATTTCAGCAATTTTGTATACTTATATTATAATTATATATACATAAATAAATAATACAAATATATAGTAAATATATTTATTATTCAACATTTATTTTATATGTAAATACAATATACTATTTAAAAATATAAATGTTATTATAGGCATTCATAACTTTAAATGACCACAATAAACCTTAGGAAATAAAGATTTATTTCACTCAGTTACAGTTCTCAAAATGTGGGGTAGTTAAGATTTTTATGAAATAAATTAATACTTTTATCTATCAAGGGTGCATTAAATTGAGTGACACTAAAGACATTTATAATGTTACAAAAGATTTCTATTTGAAACAAATGTTGTTGTTTTGAACTTTCTATTCATCAAAGAATCCTGAAAAATAAAATGCATCACAGTTTCCACAAAAATATTGAGCAGCACAACTGTTTTCAACATTGATAATAATCAGAAATGTTTCTCGAGCAGCAAATGAAGGATTGCGTGACACTGAAGACTGGAGTAATGATGCTGAAAATTCAGCTTTGATCACAGGAATAAATTACATTTGACCATATATTTAAATAGAAAACAGCTTTAAATTAAAAAAAATAATTAATATTTCACATTTTTTACTGTATTTTCGATCAAATAAATGCAGCTTTGATCAGCAAAAGAAACTTTCAAATAGGCTACATAAAAAAAAACTTACCGCCCCCAGACTTTCGAATGATAGCGCTTATGAATAAATGAAAATGATTTAATAATGTATGATTATGTTTTACTGAAGAATCAGCAGGCTATAACTCACGTCTTCAGACTCTCGCAGGAGTTCAGTGTCTTCTACTTGAACCACAGCGTCGGCCCCGCATGGAATAGGAGCGCCTGTCGTCACCCGCATCACCTGACCCGGCATCACGGTGTGTGTGGGCTGGAAACACACGTTACAGCAGTCCATATGGATCATTTTCCTCACATCTGAAGGGGGATTTCTCAAACGATATCTTTTCTTTTCTCACCTGCTCTCCAGCCTGAGACTCGCCGATAATAAATCTGTCACCAGGACCATCAGCCGCTGTCAGGACACAGAGACAACACTGTAGCATGCTACTGTTTCCCAGCTAACAAAATATATTCCAATAACGTTTTGATACCATTCCCATTAAGTTACAGACACAATAAAGGTTCCAGATGTTCTCGGAATGTTCAAAATGTCTTTTTTTTTTTTATATTAAGAGAATGTTCGATTTTAATCATTCTGCAAACATTAAGGAAACGTTACTTTTGAATGTTCTCTGAATGTTTTGAAGTAAGTAATGAACTTTAGCTAAAACATTAAGGGAACATTCTAAGAATGTTTTGATAACGTTCCCATTAGGTCATGGACATGTTAAAATATTATTTTGAATGTTCTCGCAACATTCAAAAATGTTTTCAAAATGTTAGCCAAAATATTAAGGGAACGTTCCATTTTAAACATTCTACAAACATTATGGGAATGTTCTCTGAATGTTTTGAAACAAATAACGTTACCTAAAACATTAAAGGGGTCCTATTATGCTCTTTTACAAAGTCTTGATTTTGTTTTGGGGGTGTACTAGAACAGGCTCTCATACTAGGTTGTTCGAAAAACACATTATGTTTCACATATTTTACATTATTACAACACCTCCCCAGTCTGGCACGAACGGCTCGAATAGTTCCTGTATCAAATGAAGGCCCGCCTTCTGAAATACGAAATGTGCTGTGACTGGTCAGCTGGGCCAGTATGTGCTGTGATTGGTTAGCTGGGCCAGTGTGTGTTGTGTTTGGCAGCACTCTGCGCCTGGTCAGGAAATGTCATGCCCTTACCATAGCTGAATACAGCTTCAGTGTAAATATTGCGTCAAAATCAAATCAATTTGAGGCGATTTAAACCCGGATTATTGTAACCACTCTAAGTTCGTCTGCCTTGGGAAAGCTAGCGTGACTCCGTCTTAGTGATAACACTCATTGCCTTCTCTAGTGCAGCTCAGCCAGGTCTCGTCCCATTCGTCGATCTTTGTGATATCACAAATCCCGGAAAATATGCGTTGTAGTCCAAACGAGTCGTTCGTTGTAGTTTTTGAAAAGTGATTTCTGTTAAATAAATTATCTCCTTTTGAAGTGGACTTTGAGCTTTGTAACTTTGCAGATCTTTTTTTATGCTCAAACAGCAACATTACAGACTAACTAAAGTTGAAAAAGTGAAAAAGCATAATAGGACCCCTTTAAGGGAAAGGTCAAAGAATGTTTTGATAACATTCTTAGACACGTTAAAACGTTATTTTGAATGTTCAAAATGGATAGTTAAAAAAAAAAAAATGTTTTCAAAATGTTAGCTAAAACATTAAGGGAATATTTCATTTTCCATTTTGCGGACATAATACGGACGTTAGTTTGGAATGTTCTTTGAACATTTTGAAACAAGCAGCAAACAGTAACATTAAAAAAAGCATTAAAGGAATTTTCCAATTTGAATAATTTTGCAAACATTATTGGAACGTAACTCTTTAATGCTCTCTGAACGTTTTCAAACAAGTACTAAGTAGTAACGTTAACTTTGAATCCATTTGAAATATTTTGCAAACAGTATATTAAGGATATGTTACTTTTGAATGTTCTCTGAAAGTTATGAAACAAACAGTGTAATGTTTTAAAAAACATGTTAGACGAAAGCTACAGAAGAAAAAAATGCTACACAAATAATGTATAAATAATGTTTCTGTGTTAATGTTTTTAGAATATTATTAAAGACCAGATAAGTTTAAATGGTAACACTTTATTTTGATAGTCCACTTTAGACGTTCTCCTAACAGTAAGTAACTTTGCAACTCCATGTCAACTAGCAGTCATCAGAGTATTAGTAGACTGTCTGCTTAATATCGTCTAACACTTTATTTTGATGGGTCCACAACATACTGACTACGAGAAACTTTGCAAGTACGTCAACTTATTCTACTAACCCTACACCTAACGTAACAGTCTACTCTGAGAATTAGTAGACATGTAGTTGCAAATTAATGAAAATTAGTTGACATGTAGTTGCATAGTTACTTATAGTTAGTAGAATGTCTAAAGTGGACTATCAAAATAAAGTGTAACCGTCAAATCGAAGCTTGTTTGAAATGCCTGAAGTTATTAAGTTATTGTTAGTTATTAGTTGAAGTTACTGTTGCATGCTGTGTATTGTTTTGCATACAACTGTTAATATGCAAACTGTATGCAGGACAGAGTGTGTATAAGAGATATCTTTTGGTATATTTTACATTATTACAACACCTCCCCAGTCTGGCACGAACGGCTCGAATAGTTCCTGTATCAAATGAAGGCCCGCCTTCTGAAATACGAAATGTGCTGTGACTGGTCAGCTGGGCCAGTATGTGCTGTGATTGGTTAGCTGGGCCAGTGTGTGTTGTGTTTGGCAGCACTCTGCGCCTGGTCAGGAAATGTCATGCCCTTACCATAGCTGAATACAGCTTCAGTGTAAATATTGCGTCAAAATCAAATCAATTTGAGGCGATTTAAACCCGGATTATTGTAACCACTCTAAGTTCGTCTGCCTTGGGAAAGCTAGCGTGACTCCGTCTTAGTGATAACACTCATTGCCTTCTCTAGTGCAGCTCAGCCAGGTCTCGTCCCATTCGTCGATCTTTGTGATATCACAAATCCCGGAAAATATGCGTTGTAGTCCAAACGAGTCGTTCGTTGTAGTTTTTGAAAAGTGATTTCTGTTAAATAAATTATCTCCTTTTGAAGTGGACTTTGAGCTTTGTAACTTTGCAGATCTTTTTTTATGCTCAAACAGCAACATTACAGACTAACTAAAGTTGAAAAAGTGAAAAAGCATAATAGGACCCCTTTAAGGGAAAGGTCAAAGAATGTTTTGATAACATTCTTAGACACGTTAAAACGTTATTTTGAATGTTCAAAATGGATAGTTAAAAAAAAAAAAATGTTTTCAAAATGTTAGCTAAAAAATTAAGGGAAAATTTCATTTTCCCTTTTGCGGACATAATACGGACGTTAGTTTGGAATGTTCTTTGAACATTTTGAAACAAGCAGCAAACAGTAACATTAAAAAAAGCATTAAAGGAATTTTCCAATTTGAATAATTTTGCAAACATTATTGGAACGTAACTCTTTAATGTTCTCTGAACGTTTTCAAACAAGTACTAAGTAGTAACGTTAACTTTGAATCCATTTGAAATATTTTGCAAACAGTATATTAAGGATATGTTACTTTTGAATGTTCTCTGAAAGTTATGAAACAAACAGTGTAACGTTTTAAAAAACATGTTAGACGAAAGCTACAGAAGAAAAAAATGCTACACAAATAATGTATAATGTTTCCGTGTTAATGTTTTTAGAATATTATTAAAGACCAGATAAGTTTAAATGGTAACACTTTATTTTGATAGTCCACTTTAGACATTCTCCTAACAGTAAGTAACTTTGCAACTCCATGTCAACTAGCAGTCATCAGAGTATTAGTAGACTGTCTGCTTAATATTGTCTAACACTTTATTTTGATGGGTCCACAACATACTGACTACGAGAAACTTTGCAAGTACGTCAACTTATTTTACTAACCCTACACCTAACCTAACAGTCTACTCTGAGAATTAGTAGACATGTAGTTGCAAATTAATGAAAATTAGTTGACATGTAGTTGCATAGTTACTTATAGTTAGTAGAATGTCTAAAGTGGACTATCAAAATAAAGTGTAACCGTCAAATCGAAGCTTGTTTGAAATGCCTGAAGTTATTAAGTTATTGTTAGTTATTAGTTGAAGTTACTGTTGCATGCTGTGTATTGTTTTGCATACAACTGTTAATATGCAAACTGTATGCAGGACAGAGTGTGTATAAGAGATATCTTTTGGTAAATTGCTGGGACTGAAAGAATTAACATTCACTATAGATTCAGAAATGGGTATGAAGAAACTAAAATAGGGTCAGTATTGATTTTACAGCAACTGACTGTTAAGATCTTCATAATGTTTTGAAGAGCCAGATATCTTCCTTAACGTGGCCTACATCAGACAAATGTGTTTATAGACTGTCAGTAAATACTCATGAGCTCATAAATATGCAATTAATGCAAAATACTGAAGTTTACTCTTCAGCATAACTAATTCTCGCATGCCAATGTGCATTGGCTCGTTTAGTTTACACTCGAAGTAGATTGGTCCCTCTAAGCGAGATCCCAATTTCGTCGGTCCTCCGACGTGACGTCTCCGTTCCCTCCTTCAGGGAACGAGGGTTACATACGTAACCGAGAAGTTCTCTCCTGTATCGGTAGCCAATGAGTTTGCTACTCAACATTCAAATATATGACCAGTGCTTGCCGTAGCAGTTGCAGCTTGTTTCAGAAACCCTCCACCTTCCCCAGCTCCACCTGTACAGATCTGCTACGAGGTGATTCATGTATGCTATATGGGGGTTATTTCATGTATGTTATATTTGCAGCAGCAGTATTTCTTACATGCTCACAGCAGCATGTTGTAGATGTATTGGCAGTATAGCAAGTCTCTCTACTTGTTCTGCCGCAGCAGCAGCAGTGTAGCAGATCTATTCCGCCAAGACCAAATACATTAACATTGTCATGTACATTACCATGCCAATCCCTCCGAGAGTTGTCATGACAGAACTGACAGTTATAAACTTAAAATTCTTATTTTTTCCCTCATAATTATAAATTTACATCTTGCAATTCTGTCTTTTCCCCCCTCAAAAGTCAGTGTTTACATCTTGCAAGCCTGTTTTTTCTTCTATGGAAAAAAAGCTAATTGTGGCTTATTTTTTACGATTCAGACTTTTTTCTTACACAGATACAGAGTTTATTAATTTATCAATTGCGAGAAAAAAAACTGAATTGTGTGATTAAAAAGTCACAATTATGTTTTTTTTTGTGGCAGAAATAAGCTTCAGTTTTATTTTTCTATTTTTATTTATCATGTGGAATTTTAGCAGATACATCTAAGATGAAGTTGATGCTCTGCATTTATTCTTCCTATTCTATCCAAACATAAATGAGATATAAAATGTTCCTCTGGAACTGCACACACACACACACACACACACACACACACACACACACACATGGTTTGAAGATAAGAAGCTATCATCAGATTACAGAAGGATCAATATCACAGCAGATTAACACACATATCACACTGATATGATCTACATCTCACACACTGGGATTCACTTCCAGAATCCAAAAATATGCTTTAAAAGGAATAAATCATTAAAAGAAAGACAGAAGGAAAGGTAAACAGTCAAAGCAGAATGTGTTTGTACCTCTGTAGTTAATGATCTCAGTGCCCAGAACTGCGGTCATCTCCAGCACAGTGATGAAGGCTTTATCCATAGAGGTGAGAGGGAATGGAGACATACGGTGTCTCCGAGCCACTTTGGTGATGTCCACCGCACTATGACCTACACACACACCCACCCACACACACACGATCATGTTAGTGTCACTTCTGTTTCACTGGTCTCATATGAACTTAAGTGCTTAAGCAGACTGTTCAATATGCCACCAGCAATTACATTTTCAAATGGGTGGGTTTGCAAACATCATCTGTGTTAATCTGTCTGTCACTGCCCGACTTCCTGCCGGAGGGAGGAAAGAGGATTAAGTTATTCAGTCCCTGGTAGAATAATCTCTTTGTTCACCCTGACTGAGGGAGAAGTAAATAAAGCAACAAGATTTTTTCTCGACGAGTTAAAAAAGGCAGCTTCCTCCTGCCATGTCTCTTGGATTTGACTAATGCTGTTCAGACAAGTCGTCCTCCCAGAATCCGTTTTGGAAATCATCTAAACGCGAGGGGACATCATGGGTCTGGGGGTGGAAAGGAGCAGAGAGTGGCTAGGCTGTAGATTGTAAAATGTCAAAAAAAGTATTTTCCTTATTCGATTCGATTATGAATCACAATTTCTATTTGACTTACAATTTTCTACACATGAAATTCTCTATCAGCTAATATTGTAAACTATACTTAAGTTATTCTAAATTGTTTCCCATCCATCCATCCATCCATCCATCCATCCATCCATCCATCCATCCATCCATCCATCCATCCATCCATCCATCCACCCATCCATCCATCCATCCATCCATCCACCCATCCATCCATCCATCCATCCATCCACCCATCCATCCATCCATCCATCCATCCACCCATCCATCCATCCATCCATCCATCCACCCATCCATCCATCCATCCATCCATCCACCCATCCATCCATCCATCCATCCATCCACCCATCCATCCATCCATCCATCCATCCACCCATCCATCCATCCATCCATCCATCCACCCATCCATCCATCCATCCATCCATCCACCCATCCATCCATCCATCCATCCATCCACCCATCCATCCATCCATCCATCCATCCACCCATCCATCCATCCATCCATCCATCCACCCATCCATCCATCCATCCATCCATCCACCCATCCATCCATCCATCCATCCATCCACCCATCCATCCATCCATCCATCCATCCACCCATCCATCCATCCATCCATCCATCCACCCATCCATCCATCCATCCATCCATCCACCCATCCATCCATCCATACTATGACACTATGACCTACACACACACACACACACACACACACACACACACACACACACACACACACACACACACACACACACACACACACACACACCCACACACACACACACAAAACCAACCCTCAACACTTCATATATACAGTACATAAATACACTTACACATACATACACTTCATATATAAAGCTCAACTGATGTGGGTTTGTCTTGTGTCTGATGCTGATATCTAGAGATGCCAATATATAAAGAGGCTGTATTTTGTCATATAATTTTATGATAATAAATATCACAGAAAATACAGAAACTTATTGACGTTTCTTTTACATAATATTTACAGCGTGTCTATTTAATCTATCTTTTTAAATAGCTTGTCTTTTTAATAAATATAACTATATACAGTGAATTTGTTAAAAGGATCAATATTTTTATATATTTTATATTTTTATATTTTCTGTTTTCATTTTTGTTTTGTTTAGTTGTGTGTTATTTTTAATAGTTTTTTAAAAATATGTATAAATAGTTTTTATTATTATAAAATAATTGTATTTATTTTATTTCAGTTAACATTTAATATATTCCAAGTAACATTTTTATAGTTTTAGTTAACTATAACAATCCTGCACTGAATATGATATTATTATTGCATACTGTTTAAAAAAAAAAAAAACTAAAATACACTGAGGTGCAAATACTATTTCTATTAACTAATATTTACATTTAGTGCAGAGAATTGTTTTATTTTGCTTTGTTTCCACTGTGCTGAATATTTATCCCCTAAAGTAAAATAAAAATAAATCAGTAAAAAACATGAATTTAGTGGAGTTTAGATGCTGGCTTCTCTTGATTTGTTTAGTCGCATTCTAGAAATTTGTTCACACTAGGGCTGGGCGATATATATATATATATATATAAAAAAATTATATCTCGATATTGTCAAGTTTTTACGATAGTCAATATATATCTCGATATGTTTGCATTTGCTTTAAAGTAATAAAAAAACCCATGAATTTCTTTTGCCCCCATTAAAAAAAACAACAAAAACAATTTAGACAGAAGTTATTGTTACAAAGTAAATACAAAATGTTTAGTGCAAATTTAAGCAGTTAAAAAAAAATCTAGACCAAGTGATCACTTACTGCTTTTTATTAAATGAACACATGTATATGTAACTGAAGTAGTGCAAAACAAGTACAGAAAGTGCGTTCTGTCAACTTTTTTGGTGCATGCAATTCACAATTTACACTGTGCAACTTGTATTTTTTACAAGTTTTTAGCTAAGAACACAAGTCTGTCAGTGTCAACTGTCTCTGGTTTAAGAGAAGCTCTGTGGCATGCAACTACGTTCCCACTGGCACTAAAAACCCTCTCAGATGGGAAGCTAGTTGCTGGAAAACATAGGTATTTCTTGTATATATATATAAATTAATACCAAAGACTTATGCACTCTCTCTGTCTATATTATGAAAACTGGTGAAACAAATGAAAAATATTATAACAGTGAAATTCCTAATAGTAATTCCAAATTGCCATAGTTCTCTATTCAAACAACAGCGGTTGAGTAAGTGCATTTATTCAGCCATCACAATCGCAAACAATATATTCGAGATCTCATGACAGAACACAGACTGGTTGAGTGACACTTTCATTTAGGTCGCTAAACTCCAGCTTGTTTGTTGGTGTTTTCAGATCATCGGATGCGGCGCTTCCGCAATGAGGAGCGAGTGTGTGTGCATGGTTGCCAGATTGCTTAAAACGAGCAAAACACTGGGAAGAAAATGTATGAATTTAACAGCGAAACTCTGATTCAGGGATTTGAACTATTGATATCTGGCAACCGCACTCATGAAAGCTCGCGTAGTAGAGGCGTGTAGAGCAGTCCGCAATAACATGTTATCAGTCTCCTTTTTTGGACGTTCGGCGCGTTCTTTTGGGAAAGTATGCTTGAATTTGAAATATTCGATATTCACGAAATTTTCTAATTTGATATCGTCGTCAAAATTATTGCGATATTATCGCTAATATTCGATATATCGCCCAGCCCTAGTTCACACATGAAGAAAAAATATGCACCAGACTTTATTCTGTTAAATTCTGTTTTGTGATACAAGTGACCAAACTGAAAAGTCATATAGACAGAGATTGGAAAAGCACTCGGAGACATAGATATTTCATAATCATACGCAAGTCAAACACAAGAAAAGTAATTTCATGAAGAAACATACTTGCTCGTAAGATGTTTTCTTTGCTGCTGCATCGTGACTGCACCTGAAGAAAGAAAGAGAAAAAACCTGTTAATATTGAATTTTTGGTGTGTTTCATGGAGCTGTTATGAGATGTTTGCTACTAAACCCCAGAAAACAATAAGCAATGTCTTGGTGCTGCTATCATATCATTATGAAACGCAGAGACAAACATGGAGCTGGGAATTCTGGGATGTAATGAGGAGAATCACAAAAGTTTGAGGTCGGTAAGATTTTTTATGTTTTTGAAAAAAGTCTCTTCTGCTCACCAAGGCCGCATGTATTTGATCAAAAATGCAGAAAAAAACTGAAACATTGTGAAATATTATTACAATTTCAAACAGCCATTTTCAATTTGAATGTAATTTAAAATCTAATTTATTCTTGCAAATAGCTGATAAAAACATCACAATAATCCACAAGAAATCCACACCACTCCAGTCCATCAGTTAATGTCTTGAGAAGCCAAAAGCTGCGTGTTTGCAAGAAACAAATCCATCATTAAGACATTTTTACTTTCAACTTTTTTACTTTTTACTTCGGAGTCCATAATCCATAATAATGCTTTAAAAAGTCAATCTCCTGTTGTCTCTCACTTCAAAATCCACCCACACAATTGTTTAGAGCTCTTTCGGACTGTTTTGGCTTGTAAACGGCGCTCAATCTGTGCAGATCTGAGTAGGAAGCATTATATTATGGATTATGGCCGGAAGCAATGGTTAAAAATGTCTAAATGATGGATTTGCTTCTTTTTGCTTCACAAGATGTTAACTGATGGACTGGAGTGGTGTGGATTACTTGTGGATTATTGTGATATTTTTATCAGCTGTTTGGACTCTGATTCTGACGGCACCCATTCACTGCAGAGCATCCACTGGTGAGCAAGTGACGCAATGCTATATTTCTCCAAATCTGATGAAGAAACAAACTCACCTACAAATTGAATAACCTAAGAGTAAGTATATTGTCAGCAAATCTTCATTTTTGGGTGAACTATTCCTTTAAAGTTATGCTTTATAGATAACTATATAGCCAGTCAGACAAAAACAGTTTAAAGTCAACATCATGCGCCATCCACTTTAATAACTGCAATTGCAGGAACATGTATTAAGTAGTAAATAGAGTTCATTTTGATTTAATGCTGACTTTAAAGTGCGCTCAGAGGAAGATACAAACAGAGAAACTGAAGCATCAAAACAACTAAATCAGAGATCAACAGACAGACATTATAAGCAGAGAGAAGGATGCTCTCTCTCTCTCTCTCTCTCTCTCTCTCACACACACACACACACACCTTCATACAGACCAATTATGATATCTCTATCATAACTATCATATTAAAATGAAACTAGTAATTAAATCACACTAAATAAGACTTTCATTACAACAACTCTAAAAGCACTGGGATATCAGTTCATCAAAGAATTCCCTCATTAAATATCCTAGATGTGGGCTCATTAATACAAAACTGACCTAATTTGCAATGGGTTTACAAGAAATCGCCTAGAAGATGATTTATTATTTTTGTGATGTCACATGATAGCTGATAAATCAGAAATCATAAATCATCTTTCAGCTCAAACAACATGAGCTGAAAGATGATTTATGATCTCTTTGTTGTCAAAAAGAGAGCATTTTGGTATCAGGTGTTTAAAAATCTTTAACTTTATGGTCTTACTCTTGATAACTAATTTCATAACTTCAGAAGTTCATGGAATTATTTGTGCTTGACATCCCTGTTTGGTGGATGGAAGTGGAATGAATACAGATATTCACAAAAACATGACAAATCCTTAATGTCCGTTAATCACTCTTAAAAATCTAAGTTCTTTATTGGCATTGATGGTTCAATGAAGAATCTTGAACATCCATGGAATCTTTCCATTCCACAAAAGGCTCATTATTTGTTCTTTGGGGAACAAATAATGGTTCTTCTATGGCGTCACTGTGAAAACACCCTTTATTTTTAAGAGTATATGTAATAAAAGTGGAGTGTGTGTGGGTTAGTTGTATTAGTGATGGTTCCAGAATCTAGACGTATTGCTGGTGTCATTTATTAGAAAAAAACATATAATGGAGCTTGTACTGTAAATGAAGACAGTGATGGGGTGAAAATCTTGAACAAAAAAGTGTGAAGCTAAACTCAACACACTCTTGATGTGCAGAGGCATCATGGGAAATTACATTTACTCACAACCATGTGCTTTCATTCATACGTGCTCACTCCACTGCAACAACTCTTATGCCATTCAAAACTCTGGAGTTGATGTTTATAAATATGTAGTGTCTCAAGTCAGTCACTTTTAGCACACTATCTTAGAAGACCGCTGTCTATGTAGGGAGCTCACTAGGATTTGGAACAGAACTTTGGAACAGGGATGTGTTTTTCATTGAAGTCAGGATTAGTATAGTTATATCTATCTAATTATAGCTAAAACCATTAAAAATACATTATTGTTACTTAAAAAAATTTTTGCTGAAATAAAATAAAATATTAGCATTTCTCACTAACTTGAAGTACTAAAATAACTAAAGCTAAATAAATTAAAACTAATAAATAAAAAAATAATAAAAACGATATAGATATATTTAAAAATTAATAAAACTGACAAAAGCACACCACAAATGTACTAAAACTTTAACTAAAATTAAAGTGGAAAAAAATCTAATTCCAAATATTACAAAAACTGCTATATCATTGATACTAAAATAACTCCAGCACACATACTTCTGCAAACACACTGTTAAATCTTCGACACAAACAACATCACACAAAAAATGGAGGTGAAGGTGAGCAAAATCATTTTGGTTATAAGTCGCTTTGGATTAAAATGTCAGCAAATAGAACATAAAATGTTGATGGTGTCATACAACACGACATTGATTTCAATGTGAAATTTTGATAGTAGAAAGACTGAAATAGTCTTTAACTAAATGTACTCTTATAATCTTTATTCAAATGTATATTCATATGTATATATATTTACGTTACTATATTTTGAAACGTATTTTAACAAATATATTTTTGGCCATTTTTTGTGTATTCTAAAATATATTTGCTTATTTTATTTTGTTTTACAACATTTTTGCTTGTATACAGAAAAATTGTCATGGAAAACTTAATGCATTGCACTTTGTTAGGACATGATGTAAAAAATTAAGCTTTCACCTTCTATATTATTTGTATTATTTGATTAACATACTGGTTCCTAATACCAACACTGTAAAAAAATATTTTTGAAGTCGTTAATAAACATTATTGCAGTATGTTTTACAAGAAAAAAAACATTTGTTTTTCTACTGTAAAATTTCACATTTGAACGTGTTGTCATTTCTTTGTAACAGTTTGTGAAATTTGTGAGTTCTACACCAATTTTTTGTAGAATAGATTTTTTTTGTGGAAATTGTAGTTAGGATGGTAAATGTTGCTAAGTTTATATGCTTATATAAGAAATAATGCTAACCACACGGTGGTTTGGCTTAACTTATTAACTAAACTAAATATGTAAACCCACTGATACCTGTTCTGTAGTGCCATGATAACTGGAAGATGATAGTAAGTCTGTTATCTTTGTAGGTTTGTGTTCAAAATGGATTTTTCCTGTATTTGAGCTGCTTCAGTAGCTGTCGGTGTACTAAAGTCATGTTTACAGGCTGAATTAGTCTCAAACTATGATTGAAGATGAGCTCTTTACCTGGTCCAAGGTAGAGTACCTTGACTTGAGTGTGATGACCTCATCCAGGTGTGCTCTGAACTCTCGCCGCGACGCCTGGAGGAAGCCACAGGACAGTCACTCCCCCGAAACACACACACACACACACACACACACACACAAACCTCTCCATATCCAACAGCCACAGATCCACAATCCATCCACATTCGGTCAAACACATTTACAAGCATGCGCCGCCACAAACATGAACACACACACAACTCTCTCCAGCAACACACAGTAATGAAACACACTGCCGTGGTACAATGGAAAAAATGAGCAGCTGAGCGAAATGAAAAAAACTCACCCGCATTCAAAGCAACTCAACTGATCTAATGCTGTAAATCGTGAGTGATCAGAAACAAACCAAGAGAAAATAAATCATGGAGCTGGAGAAATCACATTCAAAGTGAACAACACTCAAATCAAGCTTCTCGAAGCAATTTGACTTATTAGGGCTACTAAAGTTTAGGGAAACTGGAGTTTGTCAAGGTACAGTCAAGCTACTTACAAGCAACTAACAAAACACAATAAACTAACCGAATAGAGGCTATAAAACAGAGTAATATCATTATAAATGTTTATTTGTCTCTAAAACAATAATCATCAGAACAGTACAATCTGACAAAAAAGTTTTTATTTTACCATTCAATTTTTTTGTTTTTAATTGAAAATAAATAATTTGTTACTGGAAAAAGACAACAGCTGTTTTAATAGCTTGATTGATTCTAATAGATTGATTTGCATTTCAGTGAGTGAATTAAGTATTTGGTGCAGAAACCTTTGCTGGCAAGCACAGAGGTAAGACGTTTCTTGTAGTTGGTCACCAGGTTTGCACACATCTCAGGAGGGATTTTGATCCACTCCTCTTTACAGATCCTCTCTAAATCCTTGAGGTTTTTTTGGCTGTCGTATGGAAACTTGAAGTTTCAGCTGCCTCCACAGATTTTCTACAGGATTGAGGTCTGGAGACTGGCTAGGCCACTCCATGACCTTAATGAGCTTCTTCTTGAGCCACTCCTTTGTTGCCTCGGCGGTATGTTTCGGGTCATTGTCATGCTGCAGTGTTCTGGCTGAGGGAAAGAGGTTCTTGTCCAAGATTGTACAGTACATGGCCCCGTCCATTTCCCCCTCAATGCGGTGAAGTCGTCCTGTACCCTTAGCAGAAAAACAGCCCCAAAGCATAATGTTTCCAGCTCCGCGCTCGACTGTAGGGATGGTGATCTTGGGGTCATAGTCAGCACTCTCCCTCCAAACACGGCGAGTCGAGTTAATGCCAAAGAGCTCAGTTTTAGTCTCATCCGACCACAGCACTTTCTCCCAAGCCTTCTCTGAATCATTTAGATGTTCTTTGGCAAACTTTAAACGGGTCTGTACATGTGCCTTCTTGAGCAGGGGGACCCTGCGGGCACTTTCAGGATTTCAGTCCATTGCGGGGTAGTGTGTTACCTATGCTTTGCTTGGTGACTGTGGTCCCAACTGCCTTAAGATCATTAACGATTTTGCCCCACTGTATACATACACTGGATTGTTACTGGAAAAACAGCACACTTTTAAATGTTTTAATCATGCTAATGTGTAAACACAAATACTTTTTATAAATGTATTGTTTTTTACTAATTACTACATAACTGAATGCTAAAAAAACATCTCAATACAGTATATAATATATAAGCTTCTACTTTATGGTATATGGCTGAAATATTAATTAAAACTAAAAAACTAAAAATAAAACAAATAAAATTTTATGATACAGACAATACAATTTGACAAAAAAGTTTTTTTCTTACATTTTTTGGTTTTTAATATAAAAATATAATCTACAGGTTACTAGAAAAACAACAGTTTTCAACATCTTAATCATGATATCATGCTGATAAAAATGTATACATTTTTATAAATGTAATTTTTTTTGGACACATCTCAATACAGTATAATGTACAAGCTTCTAATTTATGGTGTATGTATGTATGGATTATTGATTAAAACATAATTTTTAAAAACATGTAAACACTTTAGTATAGGGACCAGTTCTCACTATTAACTAGTTGCTTATCATCATGTCTATTATTAAAATATTGTCTGTTTTTAGTACTTATAAAGGACATATTCTGCATTACCATATTCTACATCGCTAATCCTACCCAACATCTAAACTTAACAACTACCTTACTAACTATTAATAAGCAGTTTATTGAGGCAAAAGCCTTAGTTAATGGTTTGTTAATAGCGAGAATTGGACCTTAAAATAAAGTATGACCCATATTTTAAAGTCTTTAGATCAAGCAGAGTGAAAAAAGTGCTTGCTAAGATGTGTAAAATGCCGCTGAGTGAGAAATTAAAAGCAAGTATGTTTAGCTCATATAACTGCACTGCATGTGAGGTAATAACTAGTGGTCAACTGACAAAGCTGGCCGATTTATTGCAGACACATAAATAATAACATTTAAAACTTACAATAGTCAAATCTTTCTTTAATTTATGGTAATCTCAAAATAGCCAAATATCATCTTCAATTATTATTAATCAACTGGCCTGGTCAATATACTGTATCAGTCTGTGACTAGTAAGAACAACCGCTCTGGTCATACATATATTAAAGTGTTTTATATATGAGAAATTTTTTTTTTATAGAAATGCATTAAAACATTTTAAAACGAAAAAAATCTGATATGATTATGCTGATGGATAAACCAATGAAGTCAAAACCACTTCAAAAACGAAAAAATATCCAAGACACACATCTAAAATTGTCACAAAAAATGTCATCAGTCATTTGTGCACTTGCGAAAAGCATGCATGACAAGACAGGAAGGGTTTCAAGCAGAGCAGGAAGCAACAATCATCGCAGGCAGGAAGAAACATGTCGCATGGCAACACGTCGAGGTGGAGGAGAGCTGTTGCCATGGCGATGCGGCCCGAGATGCATGCAGGAATACCTCAGCAATGCTTAGGGTGGATGAAGAGGAGGGGAGCCGCGCCTGGGTGCCACGAGAAGGGGGGAGAAGAGAAGACAATTAAATATAAGAGCCAGCAAAGCCAAGCTGAGACACACACACACTGGCGCCCCCTGCTGGCCAGGAGGACTGCTGGAGCACTGCAAGCCAAAGCAGCTGGGAACAGAAGACATTTCAAAAGAGCAGAAACTAAGCAAATACAGCGCTTACACTCGTGTATTTGCATAGAGCATGTTCCTGGGCTTTGGATCTGGGATTTGTGCTTGACATTTTCAGTGCAAGTTCATCTGTTTTTCTGAATATCAACGTGAGTTCTTTTACTTAGTGGACAATCATTTCTGATCCCTGTGGAAGCCTATTTTTGCCATGTAAGAAAAAATGCTTTGGTAAGTCATAAATATGAAGTTGCAAGTCAAAATTATGAGATGAAAATTATGACTTTAAAATGTGAAATTATGACATACTAAATTGAGATTATGACATAAAAAGTTGAAATTATAAAGTAGAAATTACGACAAAAGTCTAAATTATGGCATACTAAATTGAAATTATGACATAGTTGAAATTATGAGATAAAGTAGAAATGACGACTTTAAAAGTTGAAACTGATATACAAAATCCAAATTATGAGATAAAGTAGAAATTATGACAAAAAGTCAAAATTATGACATAAAAAGTTGAAATTATGAGATAATGTAGAAATTATGACTTTAAAAGTTTAAATTATGAGATGGTAGAAATAATGACAAAAAGTCAAAATTATGACATTAAATTGAAATTATGACAAAAAGTTGAAATTATGAGATAAAGTAGAAATGATGTACTCATTATCTCATAATTATTACATTTTTTAATGTAATAATTTAAACTAATAATGACCATCATAATGATTTCAGGTAATAATTTTAACTTTTATTTCTACTTTTCATCTCATAAATATCTTTCTAAAGCATGATTATTTTCTTATGTGGCAAAAATAGGCTTCCATATTTCAGTTTAATTTTAGCTTGGGGATAAAAATGTATTCACATTAAATCCAATTTCTATTGGATTTACAACACATACAGACGCAAAAGCAAAGATGAAAAGATGGGTGAAGCATTTAACACATTGCTACTAAAACACGCCAAATTTAACCTTGAGCTACCACGATCCAGGTAACTACATTATTAAAATGATATTTCTCAAAGCTACAATACTGATGTCAATGTAATAAATATTTATGAAAATATTAAGGAATTATTTAACATGCATTCAATATGCACTACCATTCAAAAGTTTGGGGTAAAAAAGGGGTCAATTTTTTAAAAAGAAATTAAAACTTTTATTCAGCAAGGCTGCATTAAATTGGTCAAAAGCGACAGTAAAGCTGTTTATAATGTTGCAAAATATTTCTATTACAAATAACAGCTGTTCTTTTGATTTTTATATTTATCAAAGAATTCTGAAAAATAAAATGCATCACAGTTTCCACAAACATATTTGGCAGCACAACTGTTTTCAGCATTGATAATATTAGGAAATGTTTCTTGAGCAAATCAGCATATTAGAATGATCTCTGAAGGATCATGTGACAGACTGCATATTCAAACAGAAAAGAGTTACCTTGAATAATATTGACAATATACAATTTTTACTGCATTTCCGATCAATAAATGCTGCTTTGTGAGCAGAAGTGTCTTCTTTCAAAAACATTCAAAATCTTACCAACCCCAAATTTTGAACAGTAAATAAACACATCCATGTGTTTTAAACACATCTAAGCTAAAAAAGAAAGTTGCTTAAGTTGCAAACATTTTTTCTTTAGTATAACATGCCCTGATGAATCACAAGCAAAAAGAGCCAAACATATATTAAAGTATACACCATCAGTTTTGATTTCATGTCGACTGGAAATGCTCACAGCGTATGACAGGAATCATTTGGTATTTATTGCACATAAAATCAGCACTGCATCTCACGTTCAATGCATGCAAGGTGTCCTTGTGGTCCTGGAATAGTGTAATATATCTTGCAGGCTGCAGCCCACCCGAGTTTAAAGCTCAAGTGAAACTCAAGCACTACAGATATAATCTTTAGGAGTGTTATTTATCACCACAGACACACACACACACACGCACACAGTGCTGTTACTGCAGCGTACACTTGCTTCACATGTGCAATGACCTCAAAGAAGTGTTTTTCTCAAGGGTGATTCAATACAAAAAGTGCTTGACCCAACTGATTCCAATAGACTTCAATGTGATACACAATGTGATACTACAAACTCTCATGACAATTCCTAACTAGTTTACGTCTTGCCAAATTGGTGGCTAATTCATTGATCTCATTTGTAGGTTTTCATACAATCTGCTTATGTCCCAGTGATGTTTTTTTTATGGGTGGACCTTCATGCTTTCTGTACAAAGGATTTTGTTATCTTGTTCATTTTCTTTGCAGCAGCTTGTTTACTCAGACAATGTACACAAAAGAGGTTTAAATAGGATGCCAATGATCCCAGTAAAAAAAAAAAAAAAACTCATAGGAATCTCAAGTCCTATAAGAATCTAATTGGAATGGTTCCAAATTATGATAGAAATTCTAAATAAAACATTTTTTTTTAATTGGAATCCTTTTGGATTTTTGAACAAAGGATGTGTAAAGACACCTAAATGCCATTTCAGAAGCGCACCTTTAAAAAGGTAAATTTGGCATTAGACTCTGTATCAACTTAACACTCTCGTATTGGCATTGATGGGTCCATAAAGAACCTTTAACATCCATAGAATCTTTCCATAGTAGAAAAAGGTTATTTGTTTATTAAAATGTTCTTCACACTAAAAAAAAAGATCACTGAAAGGTTTTTTGGGGAACCAAAATTGGTGCATCTATTTCGTAAGACATTTTTTAAGTAAGCGGTGATGGCAGCTGAGCTGCTGCATGCTGTGAGCGCTATCACATATGAATACTTTAAAGGGGTCATATGATGCTGCTAAAAATAACATTATTTTGTGTATTTGGTGTAATGAAATGTTTATGGTTTAAGGTTCAAAAAACACATTATTTTCCCCATACTCTACATTATTGTTTCTCCTCTATCCCCCGCCTTTCTGAAACGCGTAGATTTTTACAAAGCTCATCGGTCTGAAAAGCGAGGTGTACACTGATTGGCCAGCTATCCAGTGTGTTGTGATTGGCCGAATACCTCAAGCGTGTGACGGAAATGTTACGCCTCTCACCATATTGTGATGCCGTGTCCCGGCCGGAGTGACGAGACAAAAACATTAAAACCCATTATAAACGAGACATTCGTTGCATCCAGTGGGGAGATAATTATGGATTATAATAACTTATACTGCCTTTTTACGCGTTGCGTTGCATCGCGCCGTGTAAACATAAAACCATGTCTGCATTTGTGATCGGAGAAATGACAAACAACAAGCGCTACTCTACACTGCTGAAAACTTACGTTTGAATCATCAGTGGCAAATTCTTTAAATATAAAAAACGTACTTGCAGTCTGTGAGTCAGAACAGCCGGCATTGTTGTCTACTCTCCCAGCTTCAGGAAACAGTCCTCCATAAAATGCGCTGCACACATCTGAATATTTGGGTTGAACTGTTCTGGATCAGTGTTGTAAATGCAACTTAACCACTGATTTCTAGTTGTGTCCATTTTTGGAAGATCAAACAAAGTAGTTTCGCTTTCACAATGCAACACAGCGTCACACGGCGGCCTAGAGTGAGCAGAGGCGGCAGATTCGACAAAGGAGCGTCCGGAGGGCTTGCGGCAACCACATGTGACGACCCTGGGCTGGACTCTGCTTCGTCCACGGTGAAAGCCGATCCGGCGATCCACAGCGCGAAGTTGATATATTTCCTCAGCGACCAGCACGGATCAGCTCCAGGCATGAAGAAGCAGATATCGTCCTCTTTTGGAAGACCAAACAAAGTAGTTTCGCTTTCACAACGAAACACACAGCGTCTTCACGACATGGTGGCGGCAGCAACAATACTACAGCGAGAATAAAAGTTACGCCTTCTTTCTTTGCGTGAACATTTGGGTGGCATTATGCAAATCTTCCCACATTGTGACGTAGACATGTGGGGGCGTGTTAGAACGAGTCGTTTTAGGTAGGAGTGGCTGACTCTTAACTTTTATAAAGAATATCTCTTTGGATTTGAGACTTTAGTCTTTGCAACTATACAGATCTTCTTTATGCACCAAGAGCTTGTAACACTCCAAAGAGAAAGGAAAAATTTAGCTGAAGGGAGCGAGGGCGGACAACAGGACACACACAATCTGCTCAAGACTGCTAATGTACAACCAAGTGGTTTCTGCAACGCTGTGTTTAATAATGCTTTAGTAGATGTTTCTGTACTGCAGCTGAGCTGATGAGAAACTACCCCTCAGATATCTGATAATCTGTGGATACAGCATTAATGTCTGCAAATAATCCACAATCTGAGATATCAGTGCTGGTGCATGGTTTTAAATGTCCATTACCCTTTAATTTTCATAACAAGCAAGCATCTTATATCACAACTGGGCTAAATAAGCAGTGACCTGCATGTCATTATCAGCTGAGTTGAGTCATTTTACACATTTATATCTGTCTACAGCTAAAAGACAATAATGCCAGTGTCCTCAAACTAAAACTGTGATAAGACTGTTTTGTAACAATAACTTCCAGTTCAGCACTCTGTATTTGAATGTTCAATAATCATTCATAATAGTTATCAAAATAAAAATCATAATATCATATAAAAATAAAAAACAAAAATAATATAAACAAATAATAATATCATATAAAGACAGATAAACATTCATAGATTAATCACTATAAAAGAGTCAGAGATACATTGAGGCTTCACACACACGCACGCACGCACGCACGCACACACACACACACACACACACACACACACACACACACAAGCAATGTGGATTTATCCTTCATCCAACACATATCTGCAGCTGTCAGTAATGTCGCTGTTTTTTCAAATTGAGGTTTTGACAATCAAAACACAAACCGTAGAAGTAGT